TGTGAGGAAGATTGGCCCTGAGCTAACATCTGTACCCATCTTCCTCTACTTTATATGGGATGCCACCACAGAGTGGCTTGATGAGCGGTGCAATGGCCGGAGCCTGGGATCCGAACCTGCGAACCCCAGGCCAACGAAGTGGAATGCGAAAACTTAACCGCTACACCACCAGCTGGCCCCTCTACTACACACCTCTCTAACCTCTTGCTCTGACATGGGTTTCGTGAGTTTTTACTTATTACCTATAAAATAGAACTGATCTCACACTGTTGTAAGGATTAAATAAAATAATGCTGGCACGGTGCCCAGCATGTGACAAGTCTCAGCAAATTCACTCACTCACTGAACACACAGAACATCCAGGACGCACCAGGCACTGGCCATGTGCTGAAAAGAAGGCAGTCGACAAAACAAGACAGAGACCTCTGCCGCCCACATGGAGTTTGCTATCAACTCAGGGAAAATTTAATCAACAGTATAAATAAGTAAAATACATAGAATGTTGGACTGAGATAAACGCTAAGGAGACAATAAAGGGGACTGTGAAACGGCAGGAAGGGGATGTCTAACACGTAGATGGGGCCCACGGGAAGTCTAACTGTGATGGTGACTTTCAGGTGCAAACTCCTGATGGAGGTTAGGGAGCTAGCAGACATTCCAAGAGACTGGAGCAAGTGCAAATGCCCTGAGGTCGTGAGCACCTCAAGTGTTCAAGAAACAATGGGAGACTGGAGCCACTGGAGCAGAGTGAGATCAGTAAGCAGCAGGGCCTGGTGAGGACGTTGGGCTGTACTCTGAATGAGACGCCACTGGGGACTTCCGGCAGAGGGCCACTATTGGGCTCACTCTGCCTGCTGCTGTATCAAAAGCGAAATAACAGTGATGACAATGATAACAATTACACTTGAAATCTGCTGTATTTTCTCCTCTACTAATAGTACTGACACCACAATTTTCAGATCTCCTGTTAAAATAGAAACCCACTGGACTAACACTTTGGAGACAACAGTGTGGTGCCTCATCAACAAATTTAAAGGCCCTGCATCCCAAATGCCTCACAAACGTCACAGAATTTACACATTTCAGTGAAATAAAAACTGACAAAAGTCTGTTAGGAGCCTGCATAGACCCGGAAGTATGCTTCATGAGCAGGACCAGGCAATGGTGTCTCATGCTTTTCCTTTATTAAGGCATGGTTTTTAAAAAATTGGTAATGTGAACCCCTCACTAGCTCACATTCACTATGATAGTTTCCAGATTTACTTATCATTTATGAGGTTTCAAATATTTTTTTTTTTTTTTTTTTTTTTT